GCAGAGAGAGTAAGTCAGACTCTCTTGGTAACAAGGAGAGGGGCTCTAGGCCTTTGGCTCCAGTCCCCTCCCCCCCCCCCAGCAGAATTCTCTTCTTGAAATAATGGCTACAGTAAACACAAACCTGTTCAACATGTCTGTAACTTGGAGTGGATCTGGTCTCTTTTGTAATGCAGAGTGCTGGCCTGGTATAAAATGGAAGACATTTATCAATAAACTTATTTGCAATTAATGCTGTCTCAGAAACGTCTGGAATGAGGTTAGGGAGGAATTATTTTGATCTTTCTCAAACTCTGTAAAAAGGCTGTCAAGAACAGGTAGTTCAAATTCTCCCATTTGGCAGAAATAATATCCTGCCTGCTTCCGCACAGGACGAGTGTTGTATTTCACCAAGTTGCAGTGGTATTGAGGCTGTTCTTTTTTACCTCCTCTAATTTATTATCCTCTGAACAGAGGAGAAAACCAAGCCTGGGTTGGATATTTTAAAATATCGTTTCCATGGTGTTTAGGGTTACTGTCTCCTATACGCTTACCTTTAGATAAATCTTACTGAGAGCTACTTACAGCTTCACGGTTGCAGAATAAAATTAACTAGCTGCAGGAACTGCCTTGTGAAAATACGTGGAACATGCTGAAGTCTATTAAAGAGTTTAGGTATATGATTTTTTAAAAAATCACTTCAACTGGTGGGATCTAGAGTGCTTGGAAAACTAAGTGGTATCCTTGAAAGGCATCGACCCGTAGCTGGCTATGGCAGAGGGACATTGATGGGTCATGGAGAGCCTGGTGACTCAAGGGCCAAGAGGAAACCCACTCCCATGTGCACACCCCCCAATCCTGACCACAAGCATCCTCCCCAAGATTATAATCCTATGGATGCATACGGGGGGCAAACCTGAATGAATTCAACACGACTGATTTCTCATGGGACCTACTTGAAATTATGCTGCGCTCCAGAGGGAGAAAAAAGTTCCCCTGTAAACTTAGATACATCACTATTTAGATCATGAGTGTCCATACCCATGCAGTCTGGGGGAAAAAAAATCAAGAGAAGGGGGAGGAAAAGATGGCAAGGCTAGTGCTTAGATGGGATAAAGGGTGAGCAGAAAAGGCTTAGGCACAGCCAGACTAATGCTTGTGTTCTCTCTGCTTGTGAAAGAGCAGCAGATAGAAGGGCAGGATGTATTGTATTTTTAAGCATTTTAAAATTAGCCTTGTAGATACAGACATGATAGATAGATAGATAGATAGATAGATAGATAGATAGATAGATAGATAGATAGATAGATAGATAGA